CTTGATGGCTTTGTTTATGCCTAAGGAAAATAAGCTGTTGCAGGGCACACTGCCTATTAATGATTGCTAACTATGCCAGTTGAAACAAATTCAACAGAATATGACTTAAAAAAATTAAAAACATATCATATTTTGTATTTTCATACACATCAATCAGGGCTTTGTTCTTTAAAAGAAATACCATATCTAATCAAGTTTTAATGCATTTTTAACACATTTCTAGTTTTCTGAGCAAGTTGAATATTTAGCATGGCACTCTGACGATAACCTGAGAATATTACTTTTCAATAGGTTGTAGTGGTTTCGCTTAACTTTCCTTACTTGTGTTTTAACATATAGTATATGAATTAAAATTAATACTGGGATTAAGAGACCAAATATGAAAAGTCATAAGATTCTACAAATTCAGGGTTCAGAATTAATTTGTTGGTGTACGTCTCATATGTTTTGTGCAGTCAAGCTAGTAAGAAACTGCCCTAGACTTTTATTAGGACTGTATGTACCATATGGTGAGAAAACCTTGGTTGTTCCTAGGCATTGTCACTCACCTGAACATTTTGCTTATCTTAGCAAGAGTGTCAGAGCACATTTGAGACCAAATGGTTTCTAGATCTGCCGTCCTGATGCTACACCTCCTTCTTCACTTCATTACTTCCCACCCATCTTCCTGGCTATGGTTTCCCTGCTGGGGTTTTTTTCATTGCTCCTTCTGGAGATGATCCACTACCTCCCACAGCTCTCCAGCCCCCCTCACCTGTCTATCTGCTCTAGTCACTTTGTCTGGTTCCTCTGACCACCTCACAGCTCCTGTGGGCCACACATTTCCACCTTTAAGTTTCATTGCTGGATACAGCAAAAAAAGTGAGAACTGAGAAAAACTTTGGGCAGAGTTGTGAATGCTTTGATCCTGTTTGTGCAAAAAGTGTGAGCCCGGCTGCACAAGCTGCTTTCTGCAGTGTGACTGTGAGTGTGTGAATCTGCTAATCCTAACTCTGCCTGCATCAAAGGCTGAGTTTATTTTCATTACAGATCTATTTTTCCTCCCCCTTGTCTCCTTTCCATCTATCCTTGCACAGTAGTAGCAGGCACACTTTAAGCCTCCTAACAGAACAGTGTCAATAGTAACAGAGATGCATGCTGGCTGGAATGGCAGTGGACTAGTGACACAAGGACATAAGAAGTTCACTATTTGTGGGGATTTTTTTGTTTTTTTATATCTGAAAGTAATTTAGAGATGTAGAACTTTATGTCTTCTTTGATACAGCTCTAAAGAGATGTAAAACTGCAATGAAACAGGTAAAATATTGCTGTAAATAATTTTGATAACATTGTAAAAGGAAGTATTAAATCGTCATTTAAGGCCTCTTTTATGAGATATGAACATCACTGCCATTGTTGGTGGCACTAAGTTTGGATTGGACAAGATGGCTTAGAGTGGCATGAATTTTAGGGCTAAAATTAGTGGGAAGTATTTTTAGAGATGTCACACTGACAGTAGTTTTCCTCTGGGATTGTTACACACATGCACCTGTTACCTGTTGCTACCACTACAAAACTCAGCAATGACCAAGTAGCAATGAAATGAGGCATTCTGCCTAGCTCTAATCTTTCTTCCCTACTCTTCTGTTTTTTGCCCCATAAAAGAGGTGATTGGAAGACCATCTAATTTTCTTGTAGGACACCTTCCAAATTCTGCTTAAAAAGTTGCAATCATGGTGGTTCCTTTACCTCTGTGCTCTCTGTTATGAAAGCTGTGAATTCACCCTGCACAGAGTGAGATGAATGCAGAGGGTGAAAACAGAAGGAGCTGGTGCTTCTAGTCATAGAGGTAGTCAGCTACTTTTTGACTTCCACATAGCCAGTGATGTGGCTTCCATGTAGCCAGTGATGTGGGCGCCTCAGCAAAATGATTGCACCAAATAATGTAGTGTCGTGCTCTTGGATCAGCAAGATCCATTCTAAGGCAAACACAGGGATAAAAATGTGTTAGGCAGGTAATAGAAAACTTAAATCCTCAAAAAGAAAACTGTAACTCCTCAATCCCAGTGAGGAATTGTCTTTCCCCTTCTGTTTACTCAGGCACTGTAATCAGCTTAGGCAATTACTGTACAAATATAAATCAGTGATGCAACATGTATGGCACCTGATATTTATTTATGCAGAGGAACATGTCACTGAGAAAAAACTACAACTACTTAGTCTAATTGCATATTATGCAGATTGCAGAAGCCTAAAAAGTACAACAATTGGGTTTGAATTCCCTGCAAAATACAGAAGGCTGCCCTATCTCGTTGTCCCCTACTGATCCCAGTGTTTGCTGGGACATAACCTGACACACCCAGCTGACCCTTCACAGCCTGGCTGAGCTTGGTCCCATGGTTTGCCACCAGAGAGAGGTGCTTTCTGCTTCTCCAAAATGAACTGCTGGCCTTTTTGAATGTTAGGAGAAATTGATGGTCCATGGAATCCCCACCAAGGTTTTGGCAAAGCAGGACTATGGAAAGGTAACACCAAGTGACACAGCAGGGGATGTAGTATTAAAATACTTCCATTTGGGGCAATAGAATATGCACTTGTTTCTCATCTACACTAAAAAGAGCAATCTCACTTGTTAATTTAGTGATTGCATAGGTTAGTGGATGCCAGTGATCTTCAAATTTGAAAGAAAGAGCAAATAACTGCTCTTGAAATGCTTTTATCTAGGAAAGAAAGACAAAAGACACAGAGACATTCTAACACTGTAAGGTATTGAACAATCTACATGGCTTGATATCCACATTGTTTCAATATTCCAAAGGTGAAGGGGGTTTGGATTCTAGCACAAACCAGCCACCATCTGTTTATTAAATAGGAAACCTTTTTAATGACAATGGGTGGTAGCAAGGATGCTGAAAGCTTTTCCAAGACTACCAGCTCATGCATCAGTTCAGCTAGGTTTTTATGCAAAATCATCTCATGGATCTTCTTTATTTATTTTACTTAATTTTATTTATAGAATTCTGGTTTCCCTACCAACAAATCTGGAGTTGAGAAAGGAAGAAAATGGGAATTGTTCTGATTCCTCTTCTTTGTTCCTGTCAGGAGAAAAAGGAGATGACAAAAACCAAACCTTAGTATAATATAGATAATAGGTATAGAATAGATGATTCTATCTATTGTGTGCTGGATTTTTTCTCCAGGCTTACTATATCCTACCAAATCAAGAATTCTTTCTCTGGGGTAAAAAATAAAAAAAAATAAAAAATGTTAAAAAATGTTATATCTCTCTTTAAGAAGGTTTTCCAAACATTAAGTATCACAAAATTGGTTGATGATTCACAAATGGAAATTATTTTTCAATTTAGACCAAAATTTGCTGCCGCAGTGTTGGTAAGATGATGCACTAAAACTAAATCCCTCTATATGAAAGTGATCAGACCAGAACACCTATATTTAAACATTTATTTAAGGAGTATCTAGACTGGGTCTCATATGTTAGTGATGCAGATATAAGCAAACAATCTTTTCCACTTGAAACACAGTATATTAGCTTTTCTAATTAATTTGTAATGTTGCTAGAAGATGGTCCTTATGACATGTGAACCAAGCATACCTGATCCTAAATAAATACTTCTGCTTTGTAAAAGCAGAGGGTACTGAAATTGCAAAGAATGTAAGTTCTGGGATTTTTGTTTTTGTTGTTATTGTTATATTTAACTATTAAAGAAACACTTTTCTCATTTACAGCTCAGTTTTACACTACATGTAATTCCATGTTTTTTTTTGTGAGAAGTGTTGTTCCTAAAACCTCTAACCAAAAGGAGAAGAAACATACTTACATCGCCTCAGGATGATTATCTTGCACCAGTTTGCAGATAATCTTGTACCTAGAGACCATAGCAAAGGTAAGAAGGCCAGGCTTGAACACCAGCTACATCCTGCAGCCCCTAGACAAGCCAAACTCCTATCCATCATGCCACTACTGTGTTTTGTACTATAACAGAACCCATGAGTCAAAATCAGAATTGAATGCCACTGACGGTACAAAATAAAAAGTAAAATGCTGGCTCCTACCCTATTCTGTAGATGGTCTAGATTTATGATGTGTTTCCATCTCAGGCAACCAGGCTGTGGTATCCAGACTGTCTTTGCCTTCACTGGATGGCTTGTGCAAAGTGACACTTTTCTGGGCATTCCTTTTCATGCTTTTCTCTTCCAGCATGCTTGTTTCTCCTCAGTGCCCACCCGACTGCAGGAACAGGGACAGGTTATGCTGCAGTTGACACTTTTAACTCTAAACTATGTTTAGCCTATTTATACTTGGGACATTGGCAAGTGCTGGGCTTTCTTCCAGCTAAACCTGAACAGCCTCTAGATATTAACACTGTGCTTTGGGTTTTCCATGTTCTAAAAGCAATACTAAAATGTTGTTGAACTTGCTGTGCTGCTGTTCCTAAGTGCATGGCTCTGTCCCATCTTTGTCTGTCTGACTGGAGTAGCAAGAGCGGACTGGTTTCACTTGCAGGTTCTCATTGGTAAGTACATCATTATTATTAATACCAGAGCAGCAGTATTTTTTTCATCATTATAACTGTTAGATTCACATCATCATCTTTTCACCCTTTCTACATTGAAAATAACAACAAACCTGAAATGCGTCTGTCAAGAATAGTAGGCTCCTCCACTGTTACCACAAGGGAGAACTGGGATACTATGTAGTCCAAAAGTAAGGAAATACAGTAATTTATTTGATGCTTTTAATGATCTCCTCCTGGTAGTTTTAAAAATTTATTTCTCTGTTTTTCATGTGAAAGTCACAGGATTTTTAGCATCACTTGCCACACTTTATGTATTTTCTGGATCTAAAGATTATTGTTTTATTAATGGGACAACTCTTACTACGAAATGTGAAACTTGTGCATGGTGTAGACAGTAGGATGCTAAACTGGCATAGAGATAGTGTATATTTATATAATTAATTTTTGTTTTGATTCTAAGGACACCTTGTGAAAATGCAGTTTTTATAAAATTTTCCACAAATTATCTTGAGGCAAGTATGGAGTAATCATGTGTTGAAAAAATGAAATGTAGAAACAGCTCTGGACAAGTACAGTCTGTATTACTCTGGAAGTTGTAACACATAAATCCTTAAAGTGCATCTTTGAAATATAATGATACATAAATTCTTAATCTAGGTCTCATCAGTACAAAGATGCTTGTTGGCATGGGAATGAACATTTTGGAGATAGGGAACTTCTTTCTTTTCCTCTTTGCCTGGTTGAAGTGAAACACAGCACTAAAAATGCTGTGGGGATCTGAGCTCAACTTTGAGAATTCCAGAAGGCCTTTGGTCACCACAACAGCCTGTCACCTTTTTGTCATGTCAGAGTCCGGCTAGAAAACAATAATTTTGTCTATGAAAACATTCACAATGTCTTTTATTTCTATATTCACCAGATAGTTTATTTCACAATTAAGTGTAAAATTGCAGTTTCCAATAAAAGCAGGAAAGAGTAGTGAGATGATCCCACAACAACCAGATCTGCAGAAGCACTGGTATTTCCAGGCATGGGAAAAAGCTGTATCAGCTTCCCCATGTGGCTTCAGCTCCAGCATCTGCCTGCAAGCCCATCCAAGCCACAGCTTCTCTCCTGCAGCCCAGCCCAGACAACTTGTGATTATTCTCTAAAATGGAGTATCTCCAGCAGAAAAGTGAGGACAAAGAATGGCTCCACGGTGAGACACCATCCAGGGTAGTGGGAAAACTCTTTTGCTCTCAAAGAATCTGACTGGTATGACTTTCCTTCTCCTCCCACAAAATTGCCCTGGCCCAGGTTCTTCACATCCGTGTTCTTGTTGCTATTGTCAAAACCATGCCATTCCTGGAAAATATTCAGTTTAACCAACTGCCATTTTTAGATGGAAGAAACCTTTCCTCAGAAATGCATCTGAACACATACTCACTCCTGTACACAACCTTGTTGCTTCAGAAGGATTTTTCATAGCAGCTGGTTTTCGTGAAACCCTCATCCTGGCCTGATACCCCATGATTTTAATTGGGGAAAATAGTAACACAAAAATGAGGGGGGCTGTTATGAATTCTTTGAGACATTTAAGCTGCCACTCAGATATCAGACCCTACAAACACAAAGCTACTGCAAACATCAAGGTGGCCAACTAACAAAAAAAAGCAGTTAAAAAAATAAATTGGCATTTTTTCTTCAGTTTTCTCAGAATTAGTAGTGCTGATGACATGTCTGCCAGCTTTACAGAAACAGGAAACTTCTAACACTTGCACATGGAAATTTTTATAGAATTCTTTTTATTTAAATAGAAGCATATGACAAATGACTATCACAATTTAAAATATTGCTGTCTTTATGCAAACACAGAGCAAAGCTTGCTGATGCCTTGACTGATTTGACAGAAGCATATCCAGCTAGGAGAGGACCTCAAATGAAAAAAGAGGATAGGAGAGGTGTCCATTTTCATTAGACACTGTGTTGTCAGGAATCCTTTCTCCCTTTGGAGCAGTACTAGAGCTGAGTGGAGCACAGATGCCTGCAAACCAGCCCCAAATGGGGAGCTCTGCAGATGCAGGCTGATCTCCTGCCTCCCTGCCAAGCACACCACTGTTTCAGAAAGGTGCCCCTGGGAGGGCAGGAAGGGCTGGCAGGGTAAGAGAGGCAATTTAGCCTACTTTAACAGTCTTTTCACAGAATCGCTTGGTAATTACAGAAAATGTGTTCTGATTGAGTATTTATATTTTAATTGGATTTATCCAGGAAAATAATTTTGGATTTGGTTTGACAAGGTTTGAATTGCAAAACAAGCTTTGCGACTGTAGTAATCAAGTCAGCCTGTTATGAGAATGACAGTCTAATTTGCCGCAGTAGGACTTTTTTGTTGGTAGACTGAAGTGCCAAAATAAGCAGAAATTATTTGCTTATTCTCTAGGGGAAAGTACAGAGCAGTGTGTCTTCAATCCACCCTTTGAAGGCCTCACAAAATCATATAGGAGTAAGCTTTGTCAGAAGCTCCTTGCAGCTGAGAGGTCAGCATGGGAACTCTCCATGCTTGGGTCCATGGAGCAGGCAGTCATTCTCTCCAGCTGCAGCTCATCTGTGTGGGAGCTTAAGCACAGCATCTTCCTCCACTACGTGCTTGGGAATTCACCTATCCATGCCCATGATGACCTGTGGGAAGAGGGTGTGTAATACTCTCACTTCTGAACTTCTGAAGTTGGGGCAGAGTGGCTGGAAAAGTGCTCAGTGGAAAAAGATCTGAGGCTGCTGTCTGACAGTGACTGAACATGAGCCAGGGTGTGCCCAGGAAGGCCAATGGCATCCTGGCCTGGCTCAGCAATAGTGTGGCCAGCAGGAGCAGGGATGGATTGTCCCCCTGTCCAGGGCACTGGTGAGGCCACACCATGAATCTGGTGTCCAGCTATGGGCCCCTTGCTACAAGGACACTGACGTGTTAGAGTGAGTCCAGAGACGGGCAGGGGAGCTGGGGCAGGGTCTGGAGCACCAGTCCTGTGAGGAGCAGCTGAGAGAGCCGAGGGTGTTTAGCCTGGGAAAAAGGAGGTGTAGGGAGGGTCTTATGGCTCCCTACACCTGCCTGAAAGAGAGTGTGGCCAAGTGGAGTCGGGCTCTTCTCCCAGGTAGCCAGTGTCAGGACAAGGGCACAGAGTCTCAAGCTGCACCAGGGGACATTTAATTGGACATCAGGAAAAATCTCTTTATGGAAGAGTTTGTTAACCACTGTCATGAGCTGCTCAGGGAAGTGGTGGTCGCCACACCCAGCAGTGTTCAAGAAATGACTCAACATGCCACTTAGTGTTCTGGTTTACTTGAAAGGGTGGTGTTTGGTCAAAGGTTGGACTCAATTATCTTAGAAGTCTTTTCCAACACTAATGGATCTATGAAAGCTGTAGAGCAAGAGTCTGTGAGTGCCCCAACAGGAAATAATGCTGCCCATGACACTAAAGGTTAAATAACATAACTGCTGCTCTACCATATTTAGGCCTTATGTAAGCACTTATAGTGGGAATGTTCGCAGATTAAAAAAAGTCTTTGCCAAGGTCCCAACCTTAACTAGGAAGGAGTAGTCCTGTTAACTTCACAAGTTTACTTGCTAAATACATACCACTCTTGTGAAGCAAGTGGTAAATTATTTAACCCTAAACAAATTAGAAAATACTAAGGAGATTGATAGGTGAGGAGACCATTAAAAGATGAAAAGGGATCACAGAGTTTGTTTTGTTTTGAAAATTTGTTTGATTATTCTTTACAAGGTCACAGAATGGAAGATATTCTCTTCTTTTTTTTTTTCTTTTTTTTTTTCTGTTAAAAGTAATCCAACCCTTTCCTCGTTTTCATTTTAGCAGGCAGAATAAGCCAATTAATGAAAATATCTGATCAGCCATTTTCCTTCTGAAGAGTGGCTACTGTACATCCCTGGAACACTGCCTCTGGAGCACAACCCTGCAGTCTGCTCACTCTCCTGAGACACTCCTGGTGGTGCAGATACATCTGAGGTCATCTGGAAAACTTCTACCACTAAACCTGACAGCCTTTTGGAGACATCTGTGCTCCTTCAGCCTATACTGGATAAGCAACAGCTAGAAAACAAAACCTACTTCAGAAGCTTAGGTGGCCATGTGACATAAAAATAAGAGGGGGAGCATGATGACTTCTATTTAAATCATGGTTGCAGCTCCTCATAACTTTCTGTCTACAGGGATGTTCAAAAAATTCAATCATTTTTTTTTTATTATACAGTAAACTATAGGTCTTCAGCACAGAGATAGAAATAGAGAGAAATAGAGAAGTTAGCACTCAGCCCAACAGCACAGTGCCTTCAGCATGTCCCATGAATTTTGTACTTACTTCAGTTGAATATTCAGTCTTTGAAAACTGGATTTATGTATATGCAGTAACAATTGTTCACACAAGCATTTCACAATGACTGCTAAAAGCCCTGCAGTCTGCTTTTTACCTTGTTTATCTGCAGTCAGGTGTTTAGCACTCTTAAGCCAGAGAGGTGCTATATCCAGATACTTGTGCCAAAAACATGCCCTAGAGAAAAGATTTTGTTGAGGATTTTTTTTTCCTTTGTTAAAATTTTCTCTTTCGGCTCACTAAAGAGCAGGGATGTTACTTGCTGGTGTTAGTCCATTCTATTCCTTTTCCATCACTAGCTGCTCACAGGCTATCACATTCTGCGTTGAGAGTGGAAGAGGTTTTTCATGAACAGGGCTTTATAAAGATATTTAATAGTTTGTTCTAATTCAGTGAGAAACAGTGTATCAGATCACTTATTTCACTAAGGTGTGAGCCTTGAACCAACTTAATCAACGATATAGGAAAAGAATATAAACTTAGGTTTCTAAAGAAGCAGACAAATCAGTTGAAATTAATAGGAACAAAAGAGATATAATTAATTTTCTTACTGCACAATTACTTTCTGTAATTTCTGGGAATTTGTTTGAGGCCCTCTTTCTCTTGTAGTGAATACTGTCAAGGATGCAATGATAGCAAGGAACTCTTCCACAATATATACTAGTGGTGCTTTTTTACACCAGGCATACAATTTACTGCATGTAGGTTTTTTTAGATTAAAATAAGAATTGGGACATTTAAGGCAATATAAGTAAAAAGCCCTTCAAGTTAACTAAGACTTCATTTTAACTGAAGATTTACTTTATTATCACAGAGCTATTAAAATAATTCTCAGCAAAATTAATTTCCTTCCAAGCAACCAAACAGTGAACTAAAAGAAAAGCAATTCTGAATCATGCTAAGATACCCAGTAGTGCTTAAATTTAATCAGTAAGCATTGCATCTAATGAGCCAGTTGTTGAGCTACTCAATTAATATATCCTTGTTATGGTGGAGTTAGTCTGAATTAAATGCAAACTACCAAGAAGGAACTAGCCATTTAATCAGCTCTGTTAAGACATTAGTCTTTTTAACCTAATACTAATTAAAGTTGCTACATAATGATGAAAAGATATCTGTTAGTAAAGACACAAACTTCATGTAAAAGACTGAGAAATCTGTTTTACTACACATGGTCAAACAGCAGGTAGATTTTCTTCAGTATTGGCTTAGCCTAACCAATTTATATAGAAAACAAAACAAACAAAAGGATGGAGTCATCACTTGAATGAGTGACTCTGCCAAACTAACACTGAAGAAATCTTATTAATTTAACATTGTTGACATGGGCTGAGTGACAAAGCAGCTTGCAAAACAGAGTGAGCGAAACAGAAAATTTTAAAATGCTCTAAGCTTTAAATAAAACATAAAACCATTTTGTGTGTATGTGTGCGTGGGGAGGACCATTACACACAAGTCAGTGTTTGATATATGGCGCATAATTACGGGAAGTAAGTAGAAGGTGCCATGATACCTGTCAATTATCAGCAGGCAGAAAATGAAAATAACATACATAATTCATCAGCATACTGCCTTTTGTTGTTAAGCCAACTGATTTGGCTCCATATCATAACTGCTTATTTAAAACAAGACATTTAAATTCAAATGAAATACTGTTATGTTTTCAAAATGTGTTATTATTTTTATTTTAAAATCAGTTTTATACTGATCCAGATGCATGTATATGCATTTCTAAATGTTAGCAAGGAAGACTACAACTACTTTAAAATTGCTCTTAAAAAGGTATACAGGTCAATTCAGATTAATTTCTGTAGCATTTAATTCTGCCTGCTTGAAGTCAGATGTATCTTTAGAAAAAAGCCATCTAGAGAAGGGATACCAGTATGTATACATATTATGTGGAGGGTTTTCATGCTTTTTTTATGTCAAAGAATGCCCTCATTTAAGATTAAAAAAGAAAAAAAAACCAATCCAATAGCTACCGAAAAAAGAAAAAAAAAGAAAAAAAAAGAATTACGTGGGTATAAAGAGACAACAATTTGACATTTGGAGGGGGGCAGACCTGGACGATGATATAAATTTGTGTATGGTACAGAAAACATAAAGAAGAAACTTACGGATTTTATTTATTATTTCAGAATACAAGAAGGAGAAGATTCATTGTGAAATCAAGAGAATATCAAAGAGATAGGAGAAAACTCATCAAGGGAAATAAAAGCAGGGTGTTCACTGATGGTTTACTTCCACAAGATGAATGGGAGTAAAAATCTCTGTTGCATTAGCAGGATTTCTACAAAGGTTAAACTTTAAGAGTGATGAATGCATTCACACTCATACATAAAGGGAGCCATGGATGTTTGCATTGTGTATAAAACTGAAGTTCCACTGTGTACCACAGCTGGTACATCTGAGCATTTCACGCAGAGGAGGCTGTCAGCCCTTGCCTGTGCTGAGTTTGATTCTAGACAGGTAGATGCACTGTGCAGCTAGAAAGCAGTACACCCTGTGTTACTGCTATACAGTCATAAAAAATTTCCAAGAAGCAAACTGTTTTCATACAGAAAAATATTTCTCTAGGTAGAATAACAAGATCTAATAAATCTGATGATATGAAGAAACACATGACATGAAAGTAATTTGAAAAGAAAAAGGTAGTAAAATGGGCATAGGATCTGTGATTTCCATGTAGACTGCAGTTAACCAAAGACCCTCACTAGCAGCCTGGTCTTGGCCTGGAACATTTTCTGAGTTTTTGCATTTCTGTTACTGTCCTGAATGAGAGCTTGAGTAAGAATGGTCTCTCTCACAGCTGACAGGGAAATTCTATCAATTCAGCTTAGGGAAATGTTTTTGGTTAACTTTTAAAAAGACTGTTGATGGCACTAGCAAAACAAGAAGAAATTGATTATATAAAAAACAAGAAGCAATTAATTATATAAAAAAAAGGACAACAGTGTGAAAAACTGGCTTTCTGGGAGAGGCTGACTCCTATCTCCATCTCTGAAGATTCCCCTGGAGCTCAGGTACTTTCTCTCAGTTACTACAGTGTTTATCCTTGGTGTGTGGGTTCTAGAGTCAACTGGTTACTCCATGGCTGGGGTATTCTTTGTCCAAACTTGAGGAGGCATTTCAGGTACTGCACCTCACTCTATATTTTATCATCCAAACTCACCTCTGACATAAGATGCAGTCTACTTTTTCTAGCAAATGCAAAACTGAAAATCCATACTCAATATAAGATTTTGGATATGGTGCTTTGGTGAGTTGAAAAGAAATTCAAATCAATTTGTCAT